CTCCCTCCACCTGAAGGAAGATAACTCCCACTCCACCTGAAGCAAGATAACCCCCACTCCACCTGAAGCAAGATAACCCCCACTCCACCTGAAGCAAGATAACCCCCACTCCACCTGAAGCAAGATAACCCCCACTCCACCTGAAGCAAGATAACCCCCACTCCACCTGAAGCAAGATAACTCCCACTCCACCTGAAGCAAGATAACTCCCACAGTAACAAAGACAGTCACCATAACTGCTGCAGGAAGTACCTGTTACTCCCAAGACCTCTGGAGTACAGAAACAAGAGCCAACAAGCCCTTAATTGCCTCTTTACGAAACCGGTACATCTCTCCTCAATCATGGGAACTTCGACCACATTTATTATACAATGTATAAGCGTGAATGTTTCGGGAAGGGCTGGGAACTATCAGAGGGGGAAAGCGCCAAGCCATTAGACGATATAGAGCACTTGAAAGGTAGTCAGGATAGAGGAATTATAGTTTGTTTAGAATTATAGAGTTATAGAATTATAGAATTATAGAGTGTCAACAGTAAACAGATTCGGATCATAGTGTTGACATCAGATAAATATAGCATTTGACCCCTTAACTGACCCATTAGAAGAACAGTCATATGACCCATTAAAAGAACAGTCAAATGACCCATTAGAAGAACAGTCATATGACCCATTAGAAGAACAGTCATATGACCCATTAGAAGAACAGTCAAATAACCCATTAGAAGAACAGTCAAATAACCCATTAGAAGAACAGTCAAATGACCCATTAGAAGAACAGTCATATGACCCATTAGAAGAACAGTCATATGACCCATTAGAAGAACAGTCATATGACCCATTAGAAGAACAGTCAAATGACCCATTAGAAGAACAGTCAAATGACCCATTAGAAGAACAGTCAAATGACCCATTAGAAGAACAGTCATATGACCCATTAGAAGAACAGTCATTTGTTTAATAGTGATAAAGCATCGACTAAGAGGACAACAACAAAATAATGTGGTGAACGAAGCAGAAAAACACGAGACATAATGGAATTCTTTCATTCTTTCACTTGGAATTCTGAAGCTATTGTAATTCCTTCTTTGTAGAGGTTGAGGACGACTCATAAATTCATGAATTTAAATTACTAGCTGTGTTGTATGATTTTGTTTTGTATTTTCTCGCTTTTATCATATATACATATATATATACATATATATATATATATATATATATATATATATATATATATATATATATATATATATATATAATATATATATATATATATATATATATGGAAGTCAGAGTAAAATAGTGAGAGAGAGAGATAGATAGATAGAGAGAAAGAGAAAGAGAGAGAGAGAAGAGAGAGAAAGAGAGGAGAGAAGGAGAGAGAGAGAGAGAGAGAGAGAGAGAGAGAGAGAGAGAGAGAGAGAGAGAGAGAGAGAGAGAGAGAGAGCGAGTGAGAGAGAGAGAGAGAGAGAGAGAGAAACAACTATTCTTGCATCAGAAACAAAGGTATACCACCAGGGGAGGGGAGGGGGGCAGGGAGGGGTACTAAGGGGGGTATACCCCACCATTACCGTGAGAGACAAGGTACCAACTCAAGATATACTGCTCTAGGTATAATAGTATGTCAGCCATAACTTTCAATCTCCCGCTTGACGCATACTTTGTGTATGTGTGTGTGTGTGTGTGTGTGTGTGTGTGTGTGTGTGTGTGTGTGTGTGTGTGTGTGTGTGTGTGTGTGAGTGTGTGTGTGGTGTTAAACACAGTGTACTGTGAGTCAGTGTGGTGTTCAACAGTGTAGTGTGAGTCAGTGTGGTGTTCAACAGTGTAGTGTGAGTCAGTGTGGTGTTCACCACAGTAGTGTGAATCAGTGTGGTGTTAAACACACTGATTCAAACACAGTATTGTGTTTGAATCGAAGGTAAGAGAGAAATATTGAAAGAAGATGAATACGAGAAAGGGAAATGTGAAGGGGAGTAAGGAAACAGAAGAGAAAGAGTATGGGAAGGTAAAACAAGGTAGAAGATTAAGGAAAAGAAGTGAAGGAGGAGATCCAGGGCTTACGAGAGGGGGAGTAAGTACAGGTTCAGCGGAGGTCGTAGGGATGGAACAGGAGAAGTAGTAGAGCTGAGGAAGAGATTTACTGGAAGAGGATTTTCTGGAAAAGGTTTAGGAAATAAATGGGAGTAGGAAGGCTTTAAAGGAGTGAGACTGGGAGAGGTTTTAAGGGAATAAACCGCCCTCAGAATGCATTTTGGATGGACTGGCTGCTGAGGGCTTTGCTTAATTTATCTGATGAAGGCGACGCCAGAATCTTAATTTAGAGAGAGAGAGAGAGAGAGAGAGAGAGAGAGAGAGAGAGAGAGAGAGAGAGAGAGAGAGAGAGAGAGAGAGAGAGAGAGAGAGAGAGAGAGAGAGAGAGAGAGAGAGAGAGACGAGAGAGAGAGGAGAGAGAGAGAGAGGGGGGGGTATACTGACCTGGTCAACAGGGCGACCATCAAGGAAGGTCCAGGTAAGAGAGGGGGGGGGGGGGGGTGGTACTGACCTGGTCAACAGGGCGACCATCCAGGAAGGTCCAGGTAAGAGAGGTATACTGACCTGGTCAACAGGGCGACCATCCAGGAAGGTCCAGGTAAGAGAGGTATACTGACCTGGTCAACAGGGCGACCATCCAGGAAGGTCCAGGTAAGAGAGGTATACTGACCTGGTCAACAGGGCGACCATCCAGGAAGGTCCAGGTATGAGAGGTATACTGACCTGGTCAACAGGGCGACCATCCAGGAAGGTCCAGGTAAGAGAGGGTGTAGGGACGCCCTCGGCCACACAGCTCACGGTGGCGCCGGAGGTGTTGGTGAAGTGGAGGTGTCGTGGCGGCTCCTGGGTGAAGCTGGGGCCCTGGGTGGCCCTGGCGGCTCCTGCACCTCCTGTAGGGGGAGACACGAGGCGTGAGCACTCTCTGGGGAAAGGGTTATGGGGCCCCCACTCTCTGGGGGAGGGGATAGACAGTGAGATTCATAGACACTTCATGAGTCGTAAGAGAGAGACACAGACTGTGTCAGCACTGTCTAAGACAGAGGTCAGAGACACAGACTGCGTCAGCACTGTCTCAGACAGAGGTCAACGGTCAATCCATCATAATATAAATATTTATATAAGCAAGCATATATATAAATTTGTATAATAAAATTATATATTTATATATCCCTATGAATAATTCATATATTTAAGCTGGAAAATGGCTTACCACATAGAGAAAAAAATGAAAAACAAATTTGAATTACAAATAGCTATAAAAATCCATGATTAAAAAACACAAGATGCTAAAGATAGCAACAAAACAAGAACCGCAATATTTTTTGTATAATATAAAACATGAATAGAAATAAAACTATTATTAGAAACTAACAATAGACAAAGGGATAAGATAACAGGTGCAATAATTATGAAAATAATAATCATATATTACAAAAATAATAATTTCCTAATAAAGAGGGAAAAGGAAGAATGGTAAATTAAAAAAAATCTGAGAATAAAATAAGTCAATAAATATTAGAAGAGACAAATCTCACTAAAGAATGAAAGGAAAGTCAAGATAAGAAAATGAAAATCGTCAGTACACCCCCCCCCCCATTCTCTCGATTTCCCATTCCGTCAAAAACACGACTGTTTTAGCTTCACCAGAAACGTACGCACCCCAAGCAACCCACCTAACCCAATGAAACTGACTCCCATTAAACGTAAAACATTTCGGTGCTTAAACGGACTTGTCGATTCCGTACAGAATGCGACGTGTTATGAGAGGCCGGCTTAAGCAACAGAGCAGTATAGAAGTTGAGAACTTACTTGGCAATGGTACAACCCGTTCTCGCACTTTCGTACAGTCAATATTGACTTATTAAATAAGTGCATATGTGATATACTAATTTATTGTGAAGCTTTTCAAGGTAAACTAAAATAGTCACAATAAATTAGTATGTCACATATGCACTTATTTAATAAGTCAATATTGATTATACGAAAGTGCGAGAACGGGTTGCAATGGTAAGCTATTGAAAAAAGCTATTTTAAAGCTTTTTACATTTGAAGACTTTATGTTTTAAAGCTATTTTTCAGCTTAAAGTACTGGGTAAGTAGAGAAGAGATACAGTAACAATTAAGTATAAATGATGAAAGAACGAAGGTATACAAATATAACGATGACAAACTACAGGAGCCAATAAAAAACTCCATAATAAATATAAGACAGGAGGAAGATTGAAGTGGACTCACGCTCTGTGGGTTTACACCAAAATTTGCATGTAAATGAACACAAAAGTTTAATTCACTTTTTACAGGGCTGGGGGAAGGACCTGAATTTAGAGTCGTGTGTGTGTGTGTGTGACATTACTTTTCACACACACGCACGCACGCACACACACACACACACACACACACACACAACACACACATTGGTTGACAAATGGAATGCATTAGGGAGTGATGTGGTGGAGGCTGAATCCATACACAGTTTCAAGTGTAGATATGATAGAGCCCAATAGGCTCAGGAACCTGTACACCTGTTGATTGACGGTTGAGAGGAGGGACCAAAGAGCCAGAGCTCAACCCCCGCAAGCACAATAAGGTGAGTACACACACACACGAGTGTGTGTGTGCGTGTGTGTGGAGAGCCGGCTTAGGGAGCCGGTGGCCGAGCGGACAGCACGCTGGAGACGTTATCCTGTGGTCCCGGGTTCGATCCCAGGCGTCGGCGAGAACGAAGGGCAGAGTTTCTTCAACCCTATGCCTCTGTTACCTAGCAGTAAATAGGTACCTGGGAGTTTGTCAGGTGTCACGGGCTGCTTCCTGGGGTGTGTGTGTGTGTTGTGTGGAAAAAAAATAGTAGTAGAAACAGTTGATTGACAGTTGAGAGGCGGGCCGAAAGAGCAGAGCTCAACCCCTGCAAGCACAACTAGGTGAATACAAGTAGTGTAGTGGAAAAAATTTAATGCACTTAAGGAACAGGTTGTGGAAGCAAACTCTATTCATAATTTTAAAACTAGATATGATAGGGAAATAAGACAGGAATCATTGCTGTAAACAACCGATGGCTAGAAAGGCGGGATCCAAGAGTCAATGCTCGATCCTGCAGGCACAAATAGGTGCGTACAAATAGATATATCATTGTTACATACCATCATCTTGTAAGATGCACTAATGTGTGTCTCACTAGACGCCTTTGTCACCGTCTTGGTGCCCGGGTTCGAGTCCCGCAGTACAAGTAACCCATACTTGCTGTTCTCACCTCCACCAGAGGTGCACCCAAATAAGATGGACAGAGACCGAATAAAAAATATACAGATGATACATCAAAAGGACTCAGGCCACATCTAAAGAAAAAATGGCCCGCATCGAAATGGTTTTAGAAATAGAAGAGTTCTCGAGATACAATAAGAAGAACGTTAATGCAATAAAGAGAGAGAAATTGACGTCGTAAGTCTACGGATACCACACCGCATATTTCAATAGTCTGCTCGACTGAGAGTAACATGTATGACGGTAATTTCTAACCAATTAGTTTCAATATCTTCCACTTACTGCAACTGTTTTTTTTATTATCATGAAGTGAGATTATTATAAGATTATTATATATTATTTTATTATAGTTTTTACAACTGTTATTATCATTACTACTTGACAGATTTTGACCACTGCATATCACCACTTAAATTGTAATCTAAATACTTTTTAATTTGTCTAAAAAAAGTTTGATTTACACTTATGTTCACCTGTTCAATTCAGCCAGAATAATCACGACTTAAAAAAGTTACAATGAATAAAGCCCTCCTAATTCCACCTAATACAAGAGCTACCATCGCGATGATTAAGTAATTCATAAACCATGTTTAATGATGAGTCAGTTGAAGAGTAAGAAACATAACATATTTATCCGGGATCAACTCGAGTACATTTAATAATCCTAATCCT